CCCCGTCCCCCCCCCCCCCCCCTTTTTTTAAAAAAAAAGAAGCAGATGCCAGCACCGCCTCACATTTCAGTAATGTATCTCGAAAATAATCACGAAATAATATAAAATGGAAATCTGATACTGTGTCAGTACACAAAATTCACATAAACAATTGTTCTAACAAGTTCAGTTCAAAGAAACAGAGGTAAAATTAATTTTAAGCCTTAAAATTATTCACAAATCCCCATTAGCCAATACGCCCAAATTCACAATTTATACCAAACTTATTAAAGACTCCACACGCACAATTTCATCAAAATTTGGGAACGCAAACAGAGAACTACTGAATACCTACAAAATACTTTGAAAATCCATCAACAACTTACCAAGTAACATGTCATCTCCTAAGTTTTCCTCAGACGTGCCATGATGAAAGTACTTCCCTGAGAATCCCAAGTTGAAGCGGAAACCGGGCACCAGCTGTTGAATTCGCTGCTGAGTCGCTAAGAGCGCCTGCAGCAAACACATTTAACATACAAAGTGCATCACATTCTAAATACTAAATTTCTAAAGGTTTTCACACTGGAACCGTGCCAACTGCTCGCTACCTTTAACAAGTTTCAACATCTGAAGTTGTGCTCTAGTGACAGCTAATCTGAAAAACTTCAATATAAGTACGTGTTCAAATGATTTACGCTTTGTCATGTTTCTTGAATTGTCAGTATGACAAACCCTATCCCGTATTTAAATAAACACGCTAAATTCTGTTGCATTTCATAACTGTAGAAGGGTTAAAAAAATCACAACAGCTCACGTCTCATTATCACTGAGATTTTAAGTTCTCACGGTGATAACGCAATTGACGTTGTTCTGGGCTGTGGTTCCACGTTGACGCGCAGTTAAATACTGCGTCTCCAGTCCTGAAGATGGAGACTGTACTTTTCAGCAAAACGCTTTCTACGTACAAGTCCACCATACGGTATCACGACCCAGCATAACAAGAGCAATGCTTGATTCTGATTAGTGGTTAGTAAACCATCCATCCGTACACAGCACACAATATGATCTGTGAGAAAGTGTGACAACTTCACAAAAACAAACATGAAACGCACATAACCAAACAAGCCGAGAGTAAGGTCCTTCAATATCTGTATATTATACTTACCACTACATCGTCCTTCTTGAGACGTGTGCCCCTCTCTCCCACAAATATATCATCCACATCAACGAGAAGAAACCTCTGAAGGCTCAAACTGAGCTGTCCGTGACTCAAGTACGACAGAGAATCCAAGAACAGTAATTTGTGTAGCCAGAAGCGAAGACCGCCACCGAACAGAACTCTCTGGATGCCGTCATAAACGCCGTGGTCCTACGGACAACAAAGTCACGGGAAACGATCGAGCATTTTTAACGCCCTGACATACTGAATCCTACAGACAACAAAGTCACGGGAAACGATTGAGCATTTTTAACGCCCTGACATACTGAAACTTCTCACAGCCTATTATACATATTCCTGACTTTTAACACATGGCATGTAAGAAATTATTCACAAAGCCAACGATCACGTGGCACGCAATGTCCGACAATTTCACACACACGCACGAGTCACCAAGTGCTGTCTTTATCACTTTGCACTATGAACCAATTTTAAAATTTTATATTTTTTTTTAAATGTGTTCCTAGACCTACTGTCACAAGGTTCATCAAGGAATTAAAATTTTATTATGTAAAGTCGCTACTAAATTTGTCTGAAACAAATGAAAACTGATGTGGCACAACAATTTTTCATAAAATTCTCCAGTATCATATTTAATAAAAATTAGTTTATCCGTTCTCAAGTTGTCTCATCCACGCAGACGGAATGATTTTAATGGGCACTGCGCAAAGGTTGCAAATGAGCCTAGAAACTGTTACGCGTGTAAAGTTTCTGCTGCTCTCCGAGGCTGTAATTAAACCAGACATAACGAGTATCATTTATTTTAAGGCAAAGACCAAGGTCCACCCGTACACCTCCTCGCCATCAACTTCGGTTCTTCTTACTCAGGGATGGGGCCATTATTGGTTTAACGGTAAACCGGAGTGAGGTGATGTGTACGTGGGTGCTGCCTAGCTGTTAGTGGAGTCATGACGTCATCTCGGGGGTACGGGTATGCATTCAATTGTGCTGCAGTTTTGAAATAAGCCAGTAATTATTATTGGCGTTGAAGTTCATACAAAACAAAACAAAAAAATAGGAAACATGAATCACCTTTCTTCTGGCCATCTCTCGGATAAGTTGAATAATAATTTGAAACTGATCATCCGTGCAGCGGCACCAAAGGGGCGACGCTGTGTACCAGGACCAAGCTGCAAGTATTTTTATCGTCACCAACGCTAAGAAAAACTTTCTCTTTTAAAACAAAGTTTTTGTTTGCTTAAATCTGCAAATTCTAATTGGTCGGCCAGACTGAAACTTAATCCACTTCTTGGTCAAGAAACTAGTTCAAGTGAGAGCAATTCCTCTCCTATTGGTCAGCCACAGACGGGCAGAAATAGGGTGTGAGGTAAACCAAAACACCCTCAACGGAAATTTCCACTAAGTCGGGCTGCCAGCCTATGTTCTTTGCGTAATATAAATTTCAAAAACCGATAGATAACATCTTAGGGAAACAAACTGGGGTATGGACCACAGACTTGTCCAGCTACAAAGGACTGTCATGGAAGTGAACATATGGTGAAAATACGTAACAGAATCCCTGATAAAGGCAATGAAATGACAAGAGAAACTGAAACTGATAAGACAGACAAACCTGTAGCACTGTCGGGAGTGGAACCCTGGTTGTCTCCTCACTTAGGAAGTCCTCGGAGTTGCGGGTGGCCCAGGCGAGCGGCTCGTACGTCGAGTGGTTTGGAGAGAACACTGTCCAGTCCTCACCTGGAAGAGCACCCCACGCCGTCTCTCCCGCACGCGTCAACCGCAGAATCGGGGAGCCCGCATTCAGCGCCGCGTCCTAAGAACAGCAGCAGAAGGAAATTAAATTCACATAAACACTACAAATCAGATTCAGAATCATCTTCCACTCTGATAGCTGGCAATAACAACATCACAGCAAAACTCTTACTACCTAAACCAGAAGCTTCAAATTTTTCAAACTCCTCATCTCATCCTTTTTCCTACTCACTTTCTTTCCCAAATATATGAGATTTACATTTTCATCTTTGAGGTTTCGCAGCAATAAATGCATAAAATCTGTGTTGAACATATTTTAATTTTAATGTTTCCAACATCAGATACCGAACAGCAACAAAGACACTTCTTGACGTTAAACATCTCTTAACTTCGCTGCGATGTCAGAAACATTTTATAATAGAACAAAGGCCACAAAAATCACGAGTCTTTGTAGCACAACTCAAATGAACAAATAAAAGCCAAACTCTGCAGTTCATACTGACCGCCCTGAGTGCATAACAAGAACTCACGCTGGTCACTCGCCGATAAACAGCCGAAATCCATTAGCAGCTTCGCCACAAGGAGAGCAGAAACTCTTTGCAGCCAGGTATCAGGATCAGTCCTCATTTCAAATTATTCTTTTCCATGAGGATTCTATTGCATTTCATTTACAACTAAATTTTGGAACGAAGACAACTACGACCTTCACTAAAATACTTTTCATGTGACAAATATTAATTTTACCTGGAAAAGACAGCAGATCAAAACACAAATAACCAGATTTTAACTTGATTCCTGTGGAGGTTCATCAAATTTGTACGTTGTTCTCATATGACCTCGCTTATCTACAACTCCGCAGTAGCAGAATCAAAAGATGTGACAGTGCTGATACCGACAGCCAACACCCGACCCAATTCCATACACAAAACCCATCTCCCAAAGATCCATCGTTGTCCCCCCGCCCCAAATCTTCTTGGTCTTCCAAGACGCCACTTCCTAAACGGTTCCCTACCTAGACACTTTAAACAAGTGTCAGGAGTTGAAACATCATCATTAAATAACCTAACAAAGATGCAATGTATCCATCCTCATGGTGAACTGACCTTTAGCCTGAGGTTGGTGTGTATGAAGAGCGGAAACCCTCGCAGCTGGGCCCCGACAAGCGTCTCCTCACTTGGTGGGTTAAATCCCACGATACCGACACTGTACTCGCGACAGTACTTGTCGAGCAGCTCCCGATTCCACTTGTCCATCTGCAGGTACTTGTTGAGGTTCTCAAACACTATCACGCCGTACTTGCCTTTGTCAAGGTTCGTGAGTACCGGCAGCGATTTACCCGACACCTCCACTTTGTACCTGGCGACACACAAACCACAACCACCGAGCATCTTAATATATTTAGAGTAAAGATTCTGTCAACCAAATATTGTCACGATTTCAGCGACGTCCCAACTGTTCATGCACAGAAGTGTTCAGGATCCAGGAATTGCAAGCAGATCCAGATAAACGTCTACGCAGAAGTCATGACTTCAGTTTCAATCACGACGCTAAAGCAATCTATGTCCAACACTGACCTGTTGCATTGCAAGTGATGATAATTCCTTAAAATAAGCAACTTGATTATTTCAGAAGAAGTTAGTTATAGCATCTCAGACCACAGATCTCAAAAGCAAGAACAGGAAAGGAAGAGGTCGTGACCGAATGTGAGGTAGAATATCAGCATATGTGTGCGGGGACAGAGGAAAACCATGTAAAACTTCAGTGGCAGTAGCTGAACCAGGGACCTCCTGGCACAAAGCAGTAGTGCCACACAAAAAATACAATAACAACAGGTGAGGTACAAATCTCGAATTGTTCTGTTAGGTAGAAGCTGCTATGGGAGACGCAGAGACTGTGCGCTCTTTCCAGGTCTCAGCAGGTGCGTCAAGCCCTGACACCTGGACCATGGGCTTACTGGCCAAGAGAAACTTCATGACATAACTCAACTGATTCTGCTGCACTGTAAACTTCACATCGCCTCTAGCGGAACTCACTTGATCCTGGTGTAGACTATGAACTACACAGAGCCTCTAGTGGAACTCACTTTATTCTATTGTAGACTATGAACTACACAGCGCCTTTAGTGGAACTCACTTGATCCTGGTGTAGACTAGGAACTACACGGCGCCTTTAGTGGAACTCACTTGATCCTGGTGTAGACTATGACCTACGCGGCGCCTTTAATGGAACTCACTTTATTCTGTTGTAGACTATGAACTACGCGGCGCCTCTAGTAGAACTCACTTTATTCTGCTGTAGACCAGGAACTACACATGGCATCTAGGGGAACTCACTTGATCATGGTGTAGACTATGAACTACACAGCGCCTTTAGTGGAACTCGCTTGAATCCTGGTGTAGACTGTGAACTACACAGCGCCTCTAGTGGAACTCACTTTATTATATTGTAGACTATGAACTACACCGCGGCTCTAGTGGAACTCACTTTATTATGTTGTAGACTAGGAACTACACATAGCCTCTAGTGGAACTCACTTGATTCTGTTGTAGACTAGGAGCTCTGCTATCTCACGGCCGAGGCGCGAGTACGTCGTCTCCACGAACACAAGAACTTTGGCGTCGATGCGTAGTCTCGCTGCAGACCTGTGGTCGTGAGCCACGGCGGGCACGCGAGTGGCGCCAGTCAAGATGGCGCAGCGGATCGACGGCTCTGGTCGTGAGTCCCGACGGATCAGACTGAAACACAACCGAAACGAGCTACATTAATCGAAACGAGGGCGTGTATCGTGTCCTGAACCGTTAGCAAATGAAAACCGCCCTAGTTCCGGTTCAATACGTCATGACATTCCTCAATACCACAGTACTGACTCCGGGTGTTCGTTAACTGCATTAGAGAGTTCTCCTACTGGTGCACATTCTGCTCTTTCAGGGCTGTTCAAAATGCCTACTATTACCTACACCCATTCACACCTCCCTGATCTGACTACGCCAATCGGAGGAGTAAATCTTGCCCTTTCATATGCATACGAGGTGCGATCGGAAAGTTTCAAGACTGCGCCTATTAAAAAAAAAAAACCGTACACTTATCTCAGGTATTAAATTCATCCATCACCCTCGAAGTAGTTCCCCTGGGAGTGAACACAACGATCCCAGCGCCGCTGCCAAGCCTGGAAGCATCCCTGGAAATCTTTCTTTGTCAGCCTGTCAAGCACCATCTGCGATTCTGCCTGAATCTCTTCTATCGTCTCAAATCGCCTTCCCTTTAGCTGAATTTTCATCTTTGGGAAGAGGAAGAAGTCACACGGAGCTAAATCCGGCGAATAAGGAGGGTGCGGGATGACGGCCAGGGTGTTTGAGGCCAAAAACTGCCGAACTGCTTCTGGTCCTCAGACAGGAGCCTTGGCACAAACTTGGCTGCGATGCGTCGCATGTGGAGTTCTTCCTTTAGAATCAGCTGACAGGTCCCATAGCCTATCCCAACAATGTCGCACAAGTCGTTGATGGTACGACGTCGATCTTCGTGAAGGGCCTGCCGAATCTTCATAACATTTTCGGGCGTTGTGCTCGAAGATGGTCGTCCAGAACGCTCGTCATCATCGACAGAGGTTCGGCCATTTTTAAAACGGGAATGCCACACAAAAGTTTGTGCACGACCCATTGCGGACTCCCCAAATGCTTGCTTGAGCATTTAATAGGTTTCCGTAGCCGTTTTGGCGAGTCTTTGGCAAAATTTGATGCACACGCCATTCCGAAATCGCAGGAGGGTCGGTGTAATGCACTACCAAAACGCCCGTAACAAAGAAACAAATGCTAATTCGATGATGCCGGCTGGCACACTGATTCACTATGAATGTAGCCCGCACCTGACTTTTGAAGTAACTCTCGTATAAATTCACCATTAAAATGTATTTTATTGACAATAAAAAGTGTCCTTACCGTAAGTGGTTAGCAATCCAAAGTGTAACCGGATCACGAAGTCAATAAACACAGCCGCAGGGAGAAGAGACGAACTTTGTTTCGTCGCGAACAAGAAATATTTCTGAACTGAAATTCGAATAACATAAATTGCGATCTTTATAACTGCGTAAAATTTGAAAACGGTGGAACAAAATCAAACCAACGTTGACATCGGCGGTCTCCTTTGTTTTCTCAACTTCATACACCCGGTGATTAACCTTTTAGAGCACAGCGGTAACTAAAAGTACCATCTGCTTTTAACGTCAATTAATTCTGCGTTTCGCCCACAATGTGATTCGTGTGATTCTCGCTACAAACAGCGATTATTTCCTTAAACAGCGTTAACCAGTTGATCTTTGTAATGGTGAGGCGTTGTGTTTTCTTCGCGGTACGGACTGAATTCTTAAATAATATTTATACGAGCTTCGGCTTAAAAAATTGTCACAAACCTCTATTTTGTAGAATTTGACAGATTTAAGAAAAACGTTAAGAACTATGTCCTGTAGATTACTTTGTGTACTGCGTATGTTACGGGCTGAACGACAGTGGTTCGATTCCCCGCAGGGCAGAATTTTTTTCTTCGCCAAAGCTTCCAGACCGGCTCTGAGGCCAACCCAGCCTCACATTTTTGTGGGTCTCTGGGTCTCTCTTCTAGATGTTAAGGCGGTCGGAACGTGACACTGCCCACTCACGTGTATCTGTTTCCAATGTTATGAAGGAGTGGAGTTTTACATACTTTAAAATCTCTCTTCACTCCAACTATTTTTCCCTTTTTGAGTATTTGTTCGGGGAGAATGATTGAAAGGGACATGGATGTTCATAAAGACCACATTTTATGTCAGTGACTTTTACGACGAACAATTTTTGAGAAATTTGAGAACAGTGTGGGCTGCGAATAAATAGGCTTTTGACGCAACGACTATACGAGGTGCGATCGGAAAGTTTCCAGACTGTGTCAATAGAGGGCGAACCGGATGTAGTACGAGCTTCTGCCGCTAGGGGGTGCGGCCTACATTCATAGTGAATCAGTGTGCCAGCCGGCATCATCGAATTAGCATTTGTTTCTTAGTTACGGGCGTTTTGGTAGTGCATTACACCGACCCTCCTGCGATTTCGGAATGGCGTGTGCATCAAATTTTGCCAAAGACTCGCCAAAACGGCTACGGAAACCTATGAAATCCTAAAGCAAGCATTTGGGGAGTCCGCAATGGGTAGTTCACAAACTTTTATGTGGCATTCATGTTTTAAAAATGGCCGAACCTCTGTCGATGATGACGAGCGTTCTCACGGCGGTTGAGATGTCGATGTTGGTACTATGGGTTTTACGCCGTCTAGACTTCTCGGTAGATACAAATGTTTCGGAGGAACACTCCCTCTATCAACTTCACCCCCAAAGGTGGAAACAGTATATTTCACCAAAACGTTGGTATCTACCTACACGTCCACACGGCGTTTCAACGCAGAATATTATCACCGACAACCGTGAATAGATGGGACTGGGAAGAATTAGTTTTCCCATTGGTTTAGGGACCAAAGACCCTTCGATCGTCAAGCAACACAGTTACATGAATCGGGTAAAATTTGTCTCTTGGATTCAAATACTGCCGTTAACAATATCAGGCACGAAACAATGCGCATCGCAGCCTTTCTGAACACAGACTTTGAGATAAGCCTTGTTCTTCCGCCGTGGTCCAATAAGCCCCAAAGAATGAGAAGGCAAGACTTCCTGGGACTCCAACACAGTAAAATTAAAATACCGTCATATGAATCACCAGCAATAAATCATCAGAAATGCAATCTGCTTGTCAGTATCACGCAAACAGGGGACTGCGGTAATAATTCTGCAAAAGTCAGACATCAAACCTGAAAATGACTCAGGATCGTGTCTAACGGCGACATTACGCCGTGGTTACAGAAACAAACTCATAGTTCAGTAGCCACACCGACGTTCACGTGAGCGAGACGTTTTCCAGCTCGCCGAAAGACTGAGAGTTCCGGCAGGGGGGGGCACCGCGAGTACTTTGATCTCCACGTCCCCACACGCCCCCACAAGGTCGTCCTTCGCCCTCTGCGGCCCTGGATGCATCTCGTCTGCCAAGCGTCCGGTGATCCAGGCGTTTCCTTTGTTTCCGCGTTACTTTTGGTGGGAAGGGTCGCACTGCTTCCTTCCCAGCCCCTTCCAGTTCATCTTCTCACCCAACACCACACACACACTCAAAAGCCCCATTATGCAACTCGGAAAGAAGGCGTTTCCCGTGAACACAATCGATTTTCACAGGAAGTTCGAACTGCTGTGTTTACGAACCCACAGTCATCGTGCGTTAAAAAATCTAGCGATGAACGCTGTGATCTGAACAATATTTCGCCAAACCCAAACCAGCGATAACTAGGGCATCATCCGTCTCCACTCGCCACTCTCACTATTTATTATTTCAAAACACAATGGACAGTCACAGAATCCTTGAGAAACACGTACTAAGCGTTCCAAATACATCGGCCTGCCTCCGCAAAAATTTTATTTTCTTTATATACGAGGTGCGATCGGAAAGTTTCCAGACTGTGTCAATAGAGGGCGAACCGGATGTAGTACGAGCTTCTGCCGCTAGGGGGTGCGGCATACATTCATAGTGAATCAGTGTGCCAGCCGGCATCATCGAATTAGCATTTGTTTCTTAGTTACGGGCGTTTTGGTAGTGCATTACACCGACCCTCCTGCGATTTCGGAATGGCGTGTGCATCAAATTTTGCCAAAGACTCGCCAAAACGGCTACGGAAACCTATGAAATGCTAAAGCAAGCATTTGGGGAGTCCGCAAACTTTGGTGTGGCATTCACGTTTTAAAAATGACCGAACCTCTGTCGATGATGACGAGAGTTCTGGACGACCATCTTCGAGCACAACGCCCGAAAATGTTACGAAGATCGACGTCGTACCATCAACGACTTGTGCGACATTGTTGGGACCTGTCAGCTGATTCTAAAGGAAGAACTCCACATGCGACGCATCAAGACAACGCGCCAGCGCACACCGCCCTCAAAGTTCGGCAGTTTTTGGCCTCAAACACCATGGCCGTCATCCCGCACCCTCCTTAGCTCCGTGTGACTTCTTCCTCTTCCCAAAGATGAAAATTCAGCTAAAGGGAAGGAGATTTGAGACGATAGAAGAGATTCAGGCAGAATCGCAGATGGTGCTTGACAGGCTGACAAAGAAAGATTTCCAGGGATGCTTCCAGGCTTGGCAGCGGCGCTGGGATCGTTGTGTTCACTCCCAGGGGAACTACGTCGAGGGTGATGGATGAATTTAATACCTGAGATAAGTGTACGGGTTTTTATACGCGCAGTCTTGAAACCTTCCGATCGCACCTCGTATATAATAAAGACTGACTGTTCTGTCCCTACAGTTGTTGTTGTTGTTTCCCGGCTTTACAACACTGTTTCGGGGTTTTCGCAGCCTCCTTTGTCAGGGGTTTCTTAGTCTTTTGAAGTGTGCATTTGAGTAGTGAGTGACCAACCCACTGCCTCTGCACAATTTCTACTCAATCCTGATTTTGACTACCAGAGCCATCTAGTAGTGAATCAGGAGAGACTTGGGCGAGAAATGGCCGCTGAATTTTACTTACGAAACATCTCGTAAGGTTCTTTTACATGCCGTAAATCTACGACATGGGACCTCCGGCTATTGATTTTTATCACAACTTAAAAATCCATCGACCTCGGCCGAGTTTGAACCCGCGAACCTTGGGTCCAGTGTCTCATATAAGACAGGATTATCTTTCCGTCTGAAGCCATGTTATAGCTCCAAAAACTACTAAACGGATTTATATTAAATTTGATATTCCGCGGTCTGTACTAATCGTAGTCAACGTCTCGCCGTAAAGATCGGAATAGGGAGACGAGAGTACGGGAATTTCGTAGTCGTATGTTGGCAACAGAGACAGACGGATTCATCATCTGATGTCCAAGAGTCACAGAAGGCATGCTCAACGGTACGAAGGCTGTACATTACCTGGAGAACGGAGAGCTAATGAGGTAATGCGCGTAGCAGAAGATGGACACGATAGTCAGCAGTAACAGCGCCACCACGCATCGCTTCACGGTCCCTTGCCTGACCATAATGCACCACGGCCTCTTGGATGCAAGATGGCGTCGCACTCGCAGGCCTACCAATCCGCTGGCCCTCCTCTCCTCTAGCGGCAACAAAGGCTTGTACGATGACGTCACCACCGCCGAAGAGTTCTCTGTCACCATGGCGACGTGACTTTCCTTACAACACTACGTGATTTATGATACAAATATACGCGTTAAAATATTGTCTCAATATGAGACATGAACACTGACGTTTATTACAGGGGAAAAAAAAACACTTCACTGACTCGAAGTATTTTCGACGAAGACTAACTTCGATTTCCTCCACCAGATGCTCCGGAAACACTTCGTTCCCATCTCCTTCTCACGACACGTGGCATTAATTCGCATTTATCTGCAAACCCACTTAAAACAAGCTTGAATTTATGTGCAAAATGGAATGATTAAACGATTCGAATATTAAGTTAAAATGCGTCATAAAAGTCTGGGATTCCATTTTATAGCTACCATGTGCAACGGGCGAAAAAAAAAAATATTTCGCGACTCTTCTTAATTTGTTCTCCGAAAATCAGTCAATTTGTCAACATTTACGTCATAATGAGGCGATGGCCAACATTTATATATTTATCTATCGATTTTTTTATCAGTTCGCCATTTGCTGTGTTTCCAAACTGCGGGTAAACTACACAGAATGGCAGCCATGTTGTAATGGAAGTAAGACGCAGCGCCTCTTCCGGCCAACAGAAAAGCAACTCACAATGCAGTCACAACCACAATGCATCACAACAGGCCTTCCTCTTCTGCTCCGGCTGAATCGATGATGGAAGATGGTGACGTCAGAGATCAAGCGAGACCTTCTCTCTATCTGATGGTGAGTGGTCACCAGTTTCTTAATTTAAAGATGACGTAAAGCCAGCCTGAAAAGATAAAATGTGTGTCAGATAGTTCACGAGATGAAAACATTCTTCAGAATCAACACAAAATGTTACGACGACAGATTGGATTAGCCTTCAGCGTTATTATATATGGGGGCCAGAGAATATTCCTTATGCCCGATTCAAGCCGGAAACGTCGTTTGAACCGAGTAGTTTCAATTTCGGTGGGTATAACTTCGATGATAAGGAAAGAGTTTAATTTGGACTAGTTATCAACAGTCTGATATCACTAAAGACAACCTTTTTACAAACATCTTGTCGAGTTTTTGAGAAATCGGACACAGAAAAGGAATATGCTCCAAGAGATAAAAATATCCAGTAGATTCGGAAAATGTAAGGACTCCATCTTGTATAATTCCACAGGCTTAAGGTATAATACGATATTAAAATTAATCCCAGATAAATATTCTGTGGTAATAGTACAAAGATATAAACAGCTCAGGGCAATGTAAAATTGAGGAGGGCTTCAAGTGATGACAAGAGAGTTCAATAACAAGCAATAAACTCCGCACCTGCCCTGTGATGTTAGTTGGTCCACTGCTGCCAACCTATACACATAGTTACTAACACGATTCTTCGGGGGTCCGTGGTTTCTCCGGTCAGAAAAAAAAATTCACAACGCAAAAAAGCTCAGCTATCTTTTCCTGTTAAAAGCATCAAAAACTTCTCCTTTCGTTTCCCTGTCCCAAGGGCCCCCGGGCCAGCATCAATCGGCCTTCGAGCGTTCCTACAAAAATTTCCAGCCATTTCAACCTACCTCGATCCTTCTAGATCGACCGATCGATTATCAATCCGATCCAAATTGCGATCCCAGTCTGTTGCGGACACACGTCGACATATACTTTTCGTGATTTTCCCCAGTCTGTCCCAAGTCTTGTGTGTGTGTGTGTGTCGCTGTTCCCGAGCTCAACTAGGCACAAGGCCGCAGGCGATCAGATGGAATGCTGGGAACACACAGGAGCTGCGGGTTGTATATACAGCAAGGCAAATCGATAGCTAAAGTAGCGACCTGTTTTGCCGACTGCACTCTGGTCTCGTGTCGTACTACCTGGACCGCAGCGGGCTCGGAGCAGCAGCCAGCCCTGAAGAAGCTGACTGTATCTCAGCTAACCAATACATTAGCCGTCTTTTATGCACTGTGTTTACGTCATAGCCAGACCAGACTACTCGATGCAACTGACACAGTTTTAACCGCGTGTTGAAATTCCGTCCCATTATAAAACGAACGTGTATGAGTTAAGTTTGTTTGGGGGAGAGGCGGGTACAATACTCTTCAGTGTCCAAGCTTCACGTAGCAACAGTTAACGATTACGTAAAACAACCTTAAAAGTACGCAAGGCCACAGAATTCTCGTTTCACAGTAAATTCCTCCTTGAATCTTGTATCCACACGGCGTCACAACCCGAGATAACAGAATCGACAACCACAGGAAGACAAATATCTTTTATCGTCGCCTTCCCGATCTACTGAGACACGTTTTAGCATCTCCGTTGATAAGGAGTTCACTGATACGGTCAGCATAACCGACTTATTTGGAAAACGTGCACAATTAAGATTTCAAGATTATTTATGTTTCATGAAACATCTCATACGAGGTGCGATCGGAAAGTTTCAAGACTGCGCCTATAAAACCCCGTACACTTATCTCAGGTATTAAATTCATCCATCACCCTCGAAGTAGTTCCCCTGGGAGTGAACACAACGATCCCAGCGCCGCTGCCAAGCCTGGAAGCATCCCTGGAAATCTTTCTTTCTCAGCCTGTCAAGCACCATCTGCGATTCTGCCTGAATCTCTTCTATCGTCTCAAATCGCCTTCCCTTTAGCTGAATTTTCATCTTTGGGAAGAGGAAGAAGTCACACGGAGCTTAAAAAGGAAGTTGGGGTCGGTTCTTGCAAGATCTTTGAGCTCCTAACAAACGAGAAGTCGATTCTGCTTCTAGTCCTCTGACAGGATGCGTCGCATGTGGAGTTCTTCCTTTAGAATCAGCTGCCAGGTCCCATAGCCTATCCCAACAATGTCGCACAAATCGTTGATGGTACGACGTCGATCTTCGTAACATTTTCGGGCGTTGTGCTCGAAGATGGTCGTCCAGAACGCTCGTCATCATCGACAGAGGTTCGGCCATTTTTAAAACGTGAATGCCACACAAAAGTTGGTGCACGACCCATTGCGGACTCCCCAAATGCTTGCTTGAGCATTTAATAGGTTTCCGTAGCCGTTTTGGCGAGTCTTTGGCAAAATTTGATGCACACGCCATTCCGAAATCGCAGGAGGGTCGGTGTAATGCACTACCAAAACGCCCGTAACTAAGAAACAAATGCTAATTCGATGATGCCGGCTGGCACGAGAAAAATCATAATTTCCGCTTCCCGTTCATATTAACGGGTACTACTCGTTTAAAACTTCCAAGCATCTCACCTGTGAATGTTTACGGATGACGTGCGCTGAGGACCAACCAGGAATTTTGTCGCGAACTCGCGAATACGCAACTGGAGCGCCACAGAGACGCGGTGCTGTAACCAGGAACCCAGGTGCTGTTGTCCCGTCATTTGTTTCGAAGCTTCCGTGAGCTCAAAGGTCTGTTTGAACCGCCCTAAGTGCATTTACATTAAGACACCGACGTCCATAAACAAATTTCCCTCCACGTTTGAACGGCGACACTGAGGGCTGATGCTTCCACGGCTATGCAATGAAATTACTGCCGTCTAACACAGCGACATATACACTCGTACAGTAAAACACATATTGAATGACGTCTTATCACTTCAGCTCGTCATTGGGCAGTCTGAAGTAGTCGCCAAGAGCATAAACTTCCTCATTTCTGATTGAGGCACGCGATAAATATGCCATAACACTCTGATATGCTATTTCTTCAAGATGCATTTTAAAATTATCCCCAAACCACGGCTATCTCCGTTATGGGTTCGAGTGCAAAGTTACCTGAATAAGGCCCTCTTACACAGTCTATTCAATGACCCCTGAAACAAGACTGGAAAGGTAAAATTCATTTCGAAACAGACATCCGCATTCCTTTCAGATTCTGGATGCCCCTGGCTGGGTATACCCAATGGTATAACGTCCATACCAAATATCATCCAAATCCGTAAAGCGGTTCTCAAATTGAATTGTTAAGACAGACCATTTCAGTCCAAAAACGCGTTCACTTCATGCACGATGTGCGAAGAGCAGAGTGTCGACGGACGGATTTTCATGAAATTTGGTATGGACTTCGTGCCATTAGGGAATACTAAGAATTCGCCTAGTTTACTTTCTTACGCTTGCCAATACCGACGCTACAGACGCTCAAATTCGTGAAGTGGGGATACGATGACGCCATTACTCACGACAATCTGCGCATGTCTGACGTAACTTCAAACCTTCACCGAGATATTCGTATTCACTTAATAACTATAAGACGGATGGACCAATTGTCATTAAATTTGGTAGATGCGTGAAGTTAGAAGACTTACAACAGAAATGTTTCACGACGCCCTAAAACTTCGCCGGACCGGATCAAAGTACCGAAGACTCTGGACATCCTTGCGTTGTGATTTGTCAAGAAATACGAACAGTTCTGAAGATGTGGCGAGAGATAAGACAAAGAAATTCCCTCTCGATGCCAAACGAGATAATCTAGAAGAGATTTCCATGCACTGGAGATTCCACTTTACTGCCTGAACCACTCCGACACTTAACAGAAATAAATCGTCTCGACGGCGCAGACAGGGGCAGAGGCGGAAAGGGGGAGGGGGACACCGACGTCTGTCTCCACCACTAAAATCCATCGACCAAACTGGATCCACACTACCACAACGAGTAAGAAACACAGGATTTCTGAGTCGAGACTCGAGCTAGAGACCTCGTTAACACGGAGCAGCAGTGATTTCAATATCCTTCAGAACGCAAAAGTCCAGCTTGGTTATTTAACAAAGTTGTATCATAAGGTAGTATATTTGCGTCATATTGTGAATTAGGTTAATATTTAATATTTTCCGTCAAATCACAATTTTAATAAGATAATAAAATATAAAATATTTAAAATATCATTTCACGCTCCGCATATAAAAAACAATACCTTCGTTCTAATATATAAGAGTAATCTGATAAGAACATTTCAATAAACTGCATAACATTGTAAATGATTGTAATTCGAGTTTTAAATTTACCAATCTAATTTATACCTGAGGACGGTTAAATATAACCGAAACATGTCGTAAGAGACGTTCCAATTTGTAAATCGATCATTCGATGCGGAACGTGAAATGATATTTTAAATATTTTATATTTTACCATCTTATTAAAAATTGTGATTTGACGGAAAATATTAAAATTTAAAGTTGTATCAGTTCCCTCAGGTTTTCTGATTCCGACATCTCCGGGAGGAGACGATCAGGTAAACGAGGCTGAGCTAACCCGCTCTCTGCACTACATGGCAACAGTCCGCCAGCAATGAGAGATCAGATTACGGTCCGTGTTTACTAACCAACAGCAGAATGCAAGGTCACGAAGACCAAGACGCCTCCCACTTAGCAACTTACCGGAGCAGTACTTCGAAGTGTAAGCTCGATAAGTCCGTGTGTCTTTGGCATATCAAGGAGCGGCAAACTGAAAGCTACTTCATGTTCCTTACGAACCGATACCCTATCTCATGTGTTTGATAAATCGTCGTCAAATTAACAAAGCAACGAACAAGGCGTTAGAGAGCATTAACCCTTCGAAGCCGAAGATCGTCTGAATATTATTTAAGAATCCAGTCCGTACCGCGAAGAAAACACTACACCTCACCATTACGAAAATCAGCTGGTTAACCCTTTGAAGCCGAAGAGAGAGAGAGAAGAGAGAGACACTTCGATATCTGGGGGGGGAGAAAGAGCATCTTATAGCTAGAAGGTCCCCAGGCAATGCCCGCTCGTCCTTCTGTTAAGGATAAAGTAAGAGTGAAGGCGTTAGTGTGATGATTGGCATAAAAGACGGAATTTT